GCAACCACTCTCAAAGATATAACATACATAATAAGAAATATATCAGTCGAAGTCAACTAGAATGATCAATACGGCTGATTCAACTCTTATCTCAATAATACGTCGGCCGGATCCACTCCGCGTGGACGGTACGGCCGAACCTATAACTCACCAATTTCTCATGTGTCAGTCGAATCCACTTCTCATGGTCTGTACGGCTGAACATATAACTCATCAAATCTCTCTGTACTCACGGTCAATCCGACCAAACTACTAAGTCCATAACTCTGCTGAATCGACACTATGATATCATGGAAAATTGTTGAGTACAACTGATTCTAGGGACGATTCACAATTATGTGTCCCCTCTGTTCACATAAACACATTCATTAATTTCACACTTCCCAAAGTGTTAATTTTTTACCTGCTGCACAAGGTACATTTCCTTTACTCGAGACACCTTGTCTCAAATATCGGGGATTACCAGTATATCCATCACTTTTATTCTGACCAGCGACATTAAAACCTCAGCTGGAAGAATTAACTCTAGCTTCACTTCTTTCGAAGCTCTGAATCTTTCTATATCCTTGATATGACAAATCATTAACTGTATCGTCTTCATTTGATTCCCATTCATTTCTTATTCTTCTTTATTCTCGTTGCTCATGTTCTCAGAGTCCTCAAGACTCAACAGCATCTCGTATATTCCTGGTAAGAAGTACAATGGATAATGGTCACCCAAAATACCACTTCCCTTTTGCCACCCAGCTTAAAACAACATAACACCTCCACCAAATTAACAACAATATCTGGATGGAACGAGGCAAGTCTGAAAACTTTCTATAATATCCCTCGATCATCACTTTCCTTGTCTCATATTTGTAAACTCTTGTTTACTACCATCGATAAATGCCGGAGGGATAAAATTTTCCTTAAACAAGTCCTTAAACAATTTAAATCGGCTGCTTCCTCTGGTGACAACAATTAATACTCCTGCTTCCATCAGGATACACGTTCATAACTCAAACCAGGTAGTCGTCTCGACCCACCTGTCAGAAGGAAATTTCCTTTAACTTGCATATTCCGAAACATCTTTTCCAAATGGTTAAACCGTCACTTCGTTCCCTCAGGTTCATCATTTCTCTTAGGTGATTCAAGTTCAACTCATTACCCATCTTAAAATGTCCATTTTGATAATATACTGAATCACCATAATAATAGTTTCCCCCTAAACCGCTAAATCAGGGAGACTAAGTTCCTCTAACTACGTGGTTTGCTACGAGGCGGTGTAGTTCTGACAGAATTTACTAGAACTTCTCAAAATGTCCAAGATTGCAACCATGCTCTGATACCAACTGACACACCCCGTCCCGAAGGAGGGCATGCTGGCCGCCACGTGAGAGTGACGTAACCATTTGCACAGTACGGAAGCTTTAAGATACAATTTAAGTTGATACACCCGAAGGTGAGTCCTAATTTTGTCCAATCTGTCAGAACACCGTCGAATTCCTCGTAGTCACCACACCTTTGTGATTCCTGAACCTGGAGGGGCGCAAAACCAAAATTGAGTGGGTCAGTAAAACAATTCTTTTCCAAATCCAAACATTTCTCAAAACGTTGTAACCCATCTCCGTAAAACCTGTATACTTTCCCAGAAATGTAAAATATAATATATATACATATATATTCTCAAGACTTCAAGTCATTAACTCAACATTTTCATCATAATTATGCCATGCCACATCATCTCAACATTTCTCATATTAATTATGCCATGCCACATCATCTCAACAGTAATAAGGTATGAATGCATCAACATAATCATATCAGGTGCAAGAAAGTAATCAACCGTAGGCCCTCTAATAGCCCTGTACGGTTGAACCTAGAGCTCAAAATCTATCACTCTCACACTCTGCCGGAGTCACTCCGCGTGACCTGTACAGCCTTCTGCACATAAGTTACGCTCTAGTGCTTCTCATAAATCATCTGTGCACATAATCTAAGGTCACCCACCAGTCGGAATCTCACTAACACTCTCGCGACTGGCCTGTCGTACCCACTCCGCGTGGACTGTACGACTAGCATCTACTTGGATCCAAGACGAGCATGCGATGCGGTGAATACTATAAGCACTAAACTATGGTGCAGGATTTGAGCTCAATATACATCAACATCATCATAACAGAAATAAATACTCACCTGTGCGTCCACCGCACCATTTCATACATATGCATCATAAATCAATTCTTACCTGTGCGTCCACCGCACCAATTCATACATATGCATCATATATTAATTCATGCATGGCATTTCAACTCACATTTCTATATACTTTTCATATCAATTCTATGCATGGTATTTCACTTCCCGTTTTTCCACATAACTCATATGCATTTCATTTTAAACATATTTTCATTTCAATTCAATTTCTGGGAAACGTCAAGTATATATATATACGGAAAACAAAACTGCCCACTCACAGATTACATCGACGTCTCGTAAGTCGCTGAGCATCCCTTGGCCATGCCCGATGCTCGCATAAGCCTCACCTTGCACAACACCTAGTTCGCCGTGGTTTGGCCGGAAACTGCCTCGAAATCCTCGGAGGTCGCTGGAAACTGGGTATTTTTCAAATGAGTATAACTTCTTCAATACTCAACGAAATTGAGTGAAACAAAAAGGAAAGTTGTAGTATTTGACGAGACGAAGAGATTGATACCTACCTCAACTCCTAACTCGCCGGGGATTCGCCGGAAAGAGCCTCGAAAGCTCCGGCCAAACTTTGAACTTGTCGATCTCCGTGTTCTTTACGTCCAAAAACTTCCAACGAAGCACTCCGAGCTTCCTTGGGACTTCCTTAAGCTCACTGTGAGCTTGGTTTCACTTAAAACAAAGCCAATTCGAAGATCATGAACAGTGCTCTTCACGGGAACTTTGAAACTAGGGGTTTTCCGAAGCAAAACTTACCTGAAATGGATACCAACGTGATCGTGAAGTCCTCAGGATTCCAATGGTGGTCTCAAACTTGACGTTGGTATAGATTTAGGGTGGTTTTGTGGTGGTCCGTGTGAGTTCAAAGGAGAGGGAGAGAGAAAGTGAGGTCTGAGGAAGAGAGAGAGAGTACATACGGGAAATGGGGAGGGAATCAGGGTAGGAGGCCCTACTTAAATCCCAAACACAACTTTAAACATACTAATGTAAATCCAATTGTTAAATTTTCGCCCCTTAGTCCCGCTTAAGGGCATTTTGGTCTTTTCACGTCATCGGAATTAAAATTCCGGGACGGGCTGTGACATAAACCAATCATTAGACAATTTTTTATAAGAACAATGATACTTTATCGGTCTGGTGTGCAAGATTTTGTACCGGATTTAAGCCTAGATGTTGTTTTACTTATATGCTTCTATTCTATTATTTCAAGTTATTAGCGTTAATTGATCATGTAGTTGAGATGTGAGTTTTAGAGTGCTTTCAAATTATTACAAGCGCTTTTCATTACATTTGACAAAAAAAAGTTAAAAGTGATTATGGGGTCAAAATAGATCTTGAAAAATGCTTTTTGAAGCACTTTAAGTATTTTTTAAGACTTTACCTGCATTTTATTAAAATCTAAGGATCCAACAGCTAGGGCTCGTTTGTAAGTGCTTTTAAAATGATTAAAAGCACTTTTGACAAAATTGATTTTGGATTCCAAAAACACTTTAATTTTTTTTTCAAGAGCCATTTAGATTTTCACTAAAGATTGGTTTCAAAAACATTTTCTTCAAAAGCGTTTTTAAACATTTTAAGGGCAATTTCAGACGAGCAAAATCTAAACTATTGGTCATACTATATAATTCCTTAATCAAGAAGTATGAGATCTCAACCAAAAGTTTAAAAGAAATATGGACTAATGAGAAAAGAAGAGAAAAAAATACAGTTGGAAAGCACTTTAAATTTTTTCAAGAGCCACTTAGATTCTTACTAAAGATTAGTTTCGAAAATATTTTCTTCAAAAGCGTTTTTAAACATTTTAAAAGCAATTTCAGACGAGCAAAATCTAAACTATCGGTCATACTATATAATTCCTTAATCAAGAAGTATGAGGTCTCAACCAAAAGTTGGAAAGAAATATGGACTAATGAGAAAAGAAGAGAAAAAAATGCAGTTGGAAAGCACTTTAATTTTTTTTCAAGAGCCACTTAGATTTTTTTTACTAAATATTGATTTCAAAAGCGTTTTTAAACATTTTAAAAGCAATTTCAGACAAGCAAAATGTAAACTATTGGTCATAGTATAAAATTCCTTAATCAAGAAGTATGAGGTCTCAACCAAAAAATGAAAAGAAATATGGACTAATGAGAAAAAGAGAAAAAAATACAGTTGGAAAACAATTTAAATTTTTTTCAAGAGCCACTTAGATTTTTAGTAAAGACTGGTTTCAAAAACATTTTCTTCAAAAGCGTTTTTAGACATTTTAAAAACAATTTCAGATGAGCAAAATCTAAACTATCGGTCATACTATATAATTCCTTAATCAAGAAGTATGGGGTCTCAACCAAAAGTTGAAAAGAAATACGGACTAATGAGAAAAGAAAAGAAAAAAAAAAACTCTTGGAAAGCACTTTAAATTTTTTTCAAGAGCCACTTAGATTTTTACTAAAGACTAGTTTCAAAAACATTTTATTTAAATGTGTTTTTAAACATTTTGAAAACAATTTCAAACGAGCAAAATCTAAATTATCGGTCATACTATATAATTCCTTAATCAAGAAGTATGGGGTCTTAACCAAAAGTTGAAAAGAAATATGGACTAATGAGAAAAAAAATACAATTGAAAAACACTATAATTTTTTTTCAAGAGCTACTTAGATTTTTATTAAATATTAGTTTTAAAAATATTTTCTTTAAATTCGTTTTTAAACATTTTAAAAATAATTTCGGACGAGCAAAATCTAAATTATTGATCATACTATATAATTTCTTAATTAAAAAGTACGAGGCCTGAACCAAAAGTTGAAAAGAAATATGGTCTAACGAGAAAAGAAGAGAAAAAGGGTAGTTGGATAGGCTGCCCAATGAGAACAAATTGACCGTACGCTTACGTCACGTCACGTCACAAATTTACGCACCAACTTCAAAGCTGGATACCCTCCCTCTCCCGCTCACCAAATCCTCCCCAAAGCCCAGAACTTCTCTTTCTCCATAAACCCTAAAAATCCAGACCACAAAATTGGAAAAGTTTCCGTTCCGACGAAAGCAAGCAGCTTTTCCCATAATTCACAGTCGTCGCGGAATTTTCAAACAGTATCAGCAGTGGATTCAGCTTCTTCACCGGTAAGTAGCTTTTTTTGTGGTTCCATTTTTAGGAATTTTGGATTTTTAATTTTTAATTATTTTTTTGGTGTTCTGGAGCTGTTTCGTGGAAGCTCTGTTTGGTTGGCGAGAAAATGCAAGAAAGTGGAAATATAAATAATTTGAATTGGGTATTGCATTTTTTGGTTGCTTTATAACTTATGTACTAGTACAAAAGAAAATAATTTCAGAGACTATACACATATGTATGTATGTGTATATTTGTTTTCTGCATTCTTTTTAAATGACTTGATACTGTTACATCTTTTGTTTTCTTCCATTTTTATTAGCACTTGAGCAGGTTCCTTTGTAATTTGATTCACGTTTTCATGAAATTTAGTTGAGTCGACAAGATTATAGTTCCGGGGCCTTTGTAATTGTGATTTTTCCTAATTTTTTTTGAACTTTTGCAGTTCAACGGGTCTGCATATTGTATTGGTATTTGTTGCGGACAAAGTGATACTTTCTGGGGATTATATATTGTTGGTGGTTATTCATTTCAGAACCTAAGAAGTTATGGAGAGACTGGAATTACTCATTTCAGAAAACCGCCACCTCAGAGATTTGCTTGCAAATAAGAATAGGGAAGTTCAGTGTCTTTCACTTCAAGTTTCTGAAGCTGCTGAGAAAATGAAAGAGTTGTGCGAAGAGAGGAGAATGCTTCTTGGTGCTAACCAAGAGAAGTATAATGTTTTTTCTTTGTTTGAAGCAAAAGAAAGGGAGCACAAGCAACAATTGGAATCAATGGCTGTGAATATTCGTGAAATATTGGATCGTATTCAGTTCTTATAAGATCAATGATACTTTATCCGTCTGGTGTGCTAGATTTTGTACCGGATTTGAGCCTAGATGTTGTTAGCGTTAATTGATAATGTTGTTGAGATGTGAGTTGAGTGCTTTCAAATTATCACAAGTGCTTTTGATCATATTTGACAAAAAAAAGTTAAAAATGATTATGGGTTCAAACTAAAACTTGAAAAGTGCTTTTTAGAAGCACTTTAATTGTTCTTTCAGAATTTACTGCATTTATATTAAAATTCAAGGATCCAACAGCCAGGACTCGTTTTCAAGTGCTTTTAAAATGATTAAAAGCGTTTTAGGCAAAATTGATTTTAGATTCCAAAAGTATTTTAATTTTTTTTTAAGAGCCACTTAGATTTTTACTAAAGATTGATTTAAAAACATTTTCTTAAAAATCATTTTTAAATTTTAAAAGCAATTTCAAACGAGCAAAATCTAAACTATTGGTCATACTATATAATTTCTTAATCAAGAAGTATGGTCTCATCCAAAAGTCGAAAAGAAATATGGACTAATGAGAAAATAAGAAAGAAAAGTACAGTTGGAGAGGTACAAAAGTAATAGGACCCAATTAATTTTGAATTTGCCCAATACAACTAACAAGCAGTCATCTGTCCAAATATATTACGCTTTTTAGTTAAAATGATTTTTGAAATTAGTATAAGGTCCCATTTTGTTCATTGAGATTGAAAATCGTAACAAATGATCATCAAGTTTGTCTACCATCAATCATAATAGTGATTCCGGGAAAAAGTCTCAGTTAAATTAAGCGTATTTTTGTCCAATCAACCCCTCAATTTACTTTTCCATTTCACATAGATTTTTCACGGAATGAACATAATGATTGATAGTGGACAAACTAGAGATCAATTCAATTGATTTTCAACATCAAAGATAAACATGAGAAGTTATACCAATTTCAAAGACAATTTGAACTAGAACGCAAACATATTAAATGCAGAAAATTAGATGAACTTCATCTGAATATGTAAACCAATCAATTAGACAATTTTTTATAATATCAATGATACTTTATCGATCTGGTGTGCTAGATTTTGTATCGGATTTAAGCCTAGATGTTGTTTTACTTATATGCCTCTATTCTATTATTTCATGTTATTAGCGTTAATTGATCATGTTGTTGAGATGTGAGTTTTAGAGTGCTTTCAAATTATCACAAGCACTTTTGATCATATTTGACCAAAAAAAAAGTTAAAAGTGATAATGGGTTCAAAATAGAACTTGAAAAATGCTTTTTAGAAGCACTTTAAGTGTTTATTCAGAGTTTAGCTTCATTTTTATTAAAATCCAAGGATCCAACATCTAAGGCTCGTTTGAAAGTGCTTTTAAAATGATTAAAAGCGCTTTTAGCAAAATTAATTTTGTATTCCAAAAGCATTTTAAATTTATTTCAAGAGCCACTTGGATTTTTACTAAAGATTGATTTTAAAAACATTTTCTTCAAACATTTTTAAACATTTTAAAAGCAATTTCAAACGAGCAAAATCTAAACTATTGGTTATACTATATAATTCCTTAATCAATAAGTATGGGGTCTCAACCAAAAGTTGAAAAGAAATATGGACTAATGAGAAAAGAAGAGAAAAAAATATAGTTGGAAAGTACTTTAAATTTCTTTCAAGAGCCACTTAGATTTTTAATAATATGATTTCAAAAATATGTTCTTCAAAAGCATTTTTAAACATTTTAAAAGCAATTTTAGACGAGCAAAATCTAAATTCTTGGTCATACTATATAATTCCTTAATCAAGAAATATGAGGTCTCATCCAAAAGTTGAAAAGAAATATGGACTAATGAGAAAAGAAGAGAAAAAAAATACAGTTGGGAAACACTTTAAATTTTTTTCAAGAGCCACTTAGATTTTTACTAAAAATTGGTTTCAACGACATTTTATTCAAAAATGTTTATAAACATTTTAAAAGCAATTTCAGACGAGTAAAATCTAAACTATTGGTCATACTATATAATTCCTTAATCAAGAAGTATGGGGTCTCAACCAAAAGTTGAAAAGAAATATGGACTAATGAGAAAAGAAGAGGAAAAATTATAGTTGGAAAGCACTTTAAATTTGTTTTAAGAGCCACTTATATTTTTACTAAAAATTGGTTTTAAAAACATTTTCTTCAAAAGCATTTTTAAACATTTTAAAAGCAATTTCAAACAAGCAATGACACACCCCGATCCTAGAATCAAGGCGTGCTGGCCGTCACGTGAGCGTGATGTAACCAAAAGTGCGATGCGGAAGCCAAAGATAAGAGAAATACGAAGGAATAAAAACCAACTACTAGCAATAATATCCAACTAACATACTAGAGTAAGTTTAAGTGTGAAACATACAAATTCAGAGCATAAGTACTAGGTGCAGTCAAGTAGGACCATAACTAAATTACAACACCCGCAGGTGAGTCCTACATTTATGTAGTCTGTCAGTACGCTGTGGGAATCCTTGTGGGCCACCAACGCTGCTAACTAGAACCTAGAGGGGCGCAAAACAAAATTGAGTGGGTCAGTAAAACCAAAGTTTTTCAAAAACATTTCATTTAAAACATTTCTAACCCCTCGCTGTAAAACATGTATACTTTCCCAGAAAATAACGTAATATGCATATAATTTTCATATATCTCAAATCACAATTCTTTATCAAAACCCATAAAATATGTCATGCCATAAATGTCAATAACAGATTAAGAATGCATCAATATAACAGGTGACATAATGAATCAACCGGAGACCCTGCAGTTGGTCTTGTACGGTTAATTCCATATCTCAATATCCAAACCAACCGGAGTCACCACGGTGACCTGTACGACACTACTCTGCACATAAGTCGGAACTACCTGAAGTAGTCTGTACGACAAGAATGGTGTAATAATACGCTCTAATGCTTCTCTCATCAATCATATGTGCACATAATCTAAGGTCACCTACCAGTCGGAACCACCTCTACTGATCTGTACGACTAGCATGTCGGAACCCTCTCATGGTCTGTAAGACATGCACCTACTTAGATCCAAGGTGAGCGTGCGGTGCGGGTGAATATTATAAGCACTAACACCAGGGGTGCAGGTTATGAGCTCTCAACACGATTCACATCAACAATAAATCATATGAATAACATAAAACTCACCTGATACTCACCTGTGCGTCCACAGCACCATTTCATATATATATGCATCAATTGCTAATTCATATAATTCATAATGTGCATGCATGGCATTTTAAAAACATACTTTCATTTAAATTCAATTTCTGGGAAATTCAGTAGTATATAGGTAATAACATAAATAACTGCCCACTCACTGATAAGTCGAAGGGTCGTAACCCCCATGACGTCCCTGTATGCGCTCGTCCTCGGGATAGGTATCACCTATATGCGAAACAACTATAAAAACGTTAATTAAAGCATATAACCGACAATTCGTAATAACTTCTCATACGGTGCCCAATTTGGGTATATGAATATACCACAGTGACCTACTTGACGTCACGGACGTAGACATATTTTTAGAAAAAAATTTCGAGGCTGCACGCGCCCCCACGCGTCAGAATAGGCACGTGTCCAAGCGCATCATCCCCTACCTCCAGTCGCTGGGAAAACTCGCCGGCGCCGGAAACTGGGCAGACCTGTAATCGGTCTTTTCTCGCTCGATTCTCAACCATTTTTCATGAAATTTTCACCAAAACTTCACAAATTACGAGAGGAAGAAGGCTATACCTTTAAAAACCTCCAAATCCTTCGAAATCACGTCGGGAAATTTCACCAAAACCGGCCACCTTCGAACTAGGGTTTCCCGACGTCCAAAACTTCCAAACAAACGTCCCCGAGCTTCGTGGGAACTTCCTAAAGCTCACTATGAGCTTGGATTGTCCTAAAAACGAACCAATACAAAGTTCATGAATAGTGCCAAACTCGGTGCTTGTGATTTCGACGTGAAAATGAGGAAAACCTTACTTGAAAATGGGACCTTTGAGTTCGTAGGGCACTCATGAACGCGATGGTGCTAATCTCCACTTCGATCCATGAAATTTCAAGGGTTTTTGGGTTGGTCCGTACAGTTTCGAGAGGGAGAGAGTGAGATTGAACCGAGAAGAGGAGAGAGAGAGGGTACGGGGTGAGGGTATCCCATGTGTGTGTGTGGTCCATCCCAAAACAAGTCCAACTTCTTTCCCTAACCACACAAATTGCAAATAATTTTTAATCCATTTCAAAATTTTCCAAACTTAGGAAAATATGCATTATTCGATAATATGCCACACACATACCTTAGCATCCGTCAAGGACAATTTCGTCATTTCACAACCTCGATAAATAGAATCTCGGGACGGGCTGTGACAAGCAAAACCTAAATTGTTGGTCATACTATATAATTCCTTAATCAAGAAGTATGGGGTCTCAACCAAAAGTTGAAAAGAAATATGGACTAATGAGAAAAGAAGAGAAAAATATACAGTTGGAAAGCACTTTAATTTTTTTTCAAGAGCCACAAAGATTTTTACTAAATATTGGTTTCAAAAATATTTTCTTCAAAAACGTTTTTAAACATTTTAAAAGCAATTTCAAACGAGCAAAATCTATATTATTGATCATACTATATAATTCCTTAATCAAGAAGTATGGGGTCTCAACCAAAAGTTGAAAACAAATATGGACTAACAAGAAAAGAAGAGAAAAAAAAATACAGTTGGAAAGCACTTTAAATTTTTTTCAAGGGCCACTTAGATTTTTACTAAATATTGGTTTAAAAAACATTCTTCAAAAGCATTGTTAAACATTTTAAAAGCACTTTCTGACGAGCAAAATCTAAACTATTGGTCATACTATATATTTCGTTAGTCAAGAAGCATGGGGTCTCAACCAAAAGTTGAAAAGAAATATGGACTAATGAGAAAAGAAGAGGAAAAATTACTGTTGGAAAGCACCTTAATTTTTTTTTAAGAGCCACTTATATTTTTACTAAAAATTGCTTTTAAAAACATTTTCTTCAAAAGCGTTTTTAAACATTTTAAAAGCAATTTTAGACGAGCAAAATCTAAACTATTGGTCATACTATATAATTCCTTAATCAAGAAGTATGGGGTCTCAACCAAAAGTTGAAAAGAAATATGGACCAATAAGAAAAGAAGATAAAAAAAAAAACAGTTGGAAAGCACTTTAATTTTTTTTCAAAAGCCACTTAGATTTTTACTAAAGATTGGTTTCAAAAACATTCTTCAAAAGCATTTTTAAACATTTTAAAAGCAATTTCAGATGAACAAAATCTAAACTATTGGTCATACTACATAATTCCTTAGTCAAGAAGTATGGGGTCTCAACCAAAAGTTGAAAAGAAATATGGACTAATGAGAAAAGAAGAGAAAAAATTACAGTTGGAAAGCACTTAAATTTTTTTTTTTCAAGAGCCACTTATGTTTTACTAAAGATTGGTTTCAAAAACATTTTCTTCAAAAGCGTTTTTAAACATTTTAAAAGCAATTTTATACGATAAAAAGGAAAAGGCCCACTTACCTAAGGTCCGTGCTATGACTCATTAGCACGAATATCGAGATGTCATGAACCAACGTCGCCTAGAATAATTATCAAATCACGTGTCAGAGTTCTTACTGATATAACATAATTTATATAAATTATATATAGTGTGTTTTATATAAATTTTTTTTCAAGAGCCACTTAGATTTTTATTAAAGATTGTTTTCAAAAACATTATTCGGAAGCGTGTTTAAACATTTTAAAAGCAATTTCAGACGAGCAAAATCTATACTATTGGTCATACTATATAATTCCTTAATCAAGAAGTATGGGGTCTCAACCAAAAGTTGAAAAGAAATATGGAGTAACAAGAAAAGAAGGGGGAAAAAACACAGTTGGAAAGCACTTTAATTTTTTTTTCCCGAGGCACTTAGATTTTTACTAATGATTGGTTTCAAAAACATTATTCAAAAGCGTTTCTAAACATTTTAAAAGTAATTTCAGACGAACAAAATCTAAACTATTGGTCATACTATATAATTCATTAGTCAAGAAGTATGAGGTCTCAACCAAAAGTTGAAAAGAATTATGGACTGATGAGAAAAGAAGAGAAAAAAATTACAGTTGGAAAGCACTTTAATTTTTTTTTTCAAGAGCCACTTAGATTTTAACTAAAGATTGGTTTCAAAAAAAGAAAATTCTTCAAAAGCGTTTTTAAACATTTTAAAAGCAATTTTGGACGAGCAAAATCTAAACTATTGGTCATACTATAGAATTCCTAATCAAGAAGTATTAGGTCTCAACCAAAAGTTGAAAAGAAATATGGATTAATGAGAAAAGAAGATAAAAAAATGCAGTTGGAAAACACTTTAAATTTTTTTCAAGAGCCACTTAGATTTTTACTAAATATTGGTTTCAAAAATATTTTCTTCAAAAGTGTTTTTAAACATTTTAAAAGCAATTTAGATGAGCAAAATCTAAACTATTGGTCATACTATATAATTCCTAATCAAGAAGTATTAGGTCTCAACCAAAAGTTGAAAAGAAATATGGATTAATGAGAAAAGAAGATAAAAAAATGCAGTTGGAAAACACTTTAAATTTTTTTCAAGAGCCACTTAGATTTTTACTAAATATTGGTTTCAAAAATATTTTATTCAAAAGTACTTTGAAACATTTTAAAAGCAATTTCAGACGAGCAAAATCTAAACTATCAGTCATACTATATAATTCCTTAATCAAGAAGTATGGGGTCTCAACTAGGGGTGGGCACTTAGAACCGAAAACCGAAACCGAAACACGAATCGAATCAAACCGCACCAAACGGTTTGGTTTTGCGGTTTTGAAACGGTTTCGGTTTCAAAACCGAACCGCGGCACACAAAACGGTTTGGTTTCGGTTTTGGGTTTTCAAAACCGCACCGAAACCGAAACCGCACCATATAATAAATAAATGTTATATAACTTATTTGTTAAACTTTTCAACTAGGTTATAACTTATAGGTTTGTATTATGGCAAACTTAACCTTTCAATTGGGTTGTAAAGTATTGTGATTGGTGATCAAGTTCAATTTTAGTAGATGTCATGCATAAGGATTTAAAGTTTAAATCCTTTGATGCATTGGATGTTGTCTCAATTTTAGTAGTTGTCATTTGTTGCAGTTTTGGTACAAGTTTGGTACAAGTTAGCTGCACTTTTGGTGCAGATTTTTTGTTCTGTTTTGTGCATTTTTTTGGTGCAGTTTTGGGGCTGTTTTGGTGCAATTTTTGGTGCTGTTTTTTTATGCAGTTTTGCTGCATTATTTTTTGGTGCAATTTTGTGCAGTTTTGGTGCAGTTTTTGCTGCTGTTTTTTATGCAGTTTTGCTGCAATTTTACTGCATATTCATTATTTAATATACGAGGAAAATAAAACCGTCTTATGCATAAATAGGTGTATATTTTAAATTGTACATTTTTTTTCTCAAAAACCAAACCGAAACCATTTGAAACCGCACCGCACCGCACCGAACCGAACGGTTTGGTTTCATTTCGGTTTTGGCTTCCAAACCGCACCGCACCGCATCGCAAAATGTTTCGGTTTCGGTTGTGGTTTCATTCGAAACCGCACCAAACCGCACCGCGCCCACCCCTAGTCTCAACCAAAAGTTGAAAAGAAATATGGGCTAATGAGAAAAGAAGAGAAAAAAATATAGTTGGAAAGCACCTTAAATTTTTTTCAAGATTCACTTAGATTTTTACTAAAAATTGATTTTAAAAACATTTTCTTTAAAAACATTTTTAAACATTTTAAAAGCAATTTAAGATGAGCAAAATATAAACTATTGCCCATACTATATAATTCCTTGAGTAAGGTATAGCAATGGTCCCTCAACTTTAATCAAAATGGAGCAATGGTTTCTCAACGAAAAATTCATTACCATTTGTCCCTCAACTCATCAAAATGTGTAGCTATGGTCATTTTCGTCAACTTTGTCAAAATGAGTTATGTTAGAATGACCATTACTACAATTGGGGTCCTTAACTCATCAAAGCGAGTAGCTATAGTCATTTTTGTCAACTTCATCAGAATTTTGTCAAAATGATTTATGTTGGAAGAACCATTTCTACAATTGAGTTAAATATGTGGGACCATTGCTCCGATTGAATTAAAGTTGAGGGACTATTTATCTAGTTAGATTAAAGTTGAGGGACCAATGGTAATGAATTTTTAGTTGAGGATGGTCCGCACGTTTTGAAGAGTTGAATGACCAATGGTAATGAATTTTTAGTTGAGGATGGTCCGCATGTTTTGAAGAGTTGAAAGATCAATGATAATAAATTTTTAGTTGAAAAATCATTGTTCTAATTTAACTAAAATTAACCTTAATAAAAAAAGTACGAGATCTCAACCAAAAGTTGAAAAGAAATACGGACTAATGAGAAAAGAAAGAGAAAAAAAAAAGTAAAGTTGGAGAGGCTGCCCAATGAGAACAAATTGACCGTACGCTTACGTCACGTCACAAGTATACGCACCAAGTTCAAAGCTGGGTCAACAGTCATAATTCTGGCGCACAACGGCGGCAAAGCCCTCTCCCGCTCACCAAATCCACCCCAAAGGCCATAACTTCTCTTTCTCCATAAACCCTAAAAATCCAGACCACAAAATTGGAAAAGTTTCCGTTCCGACGAAAGCAAGCAGCTTTTCCCAAAATTCACACTCGTCGCGGGATTTTCACACAGTATCAGCAGTGGATTCAGCTTCTTCACTGGTAAGTAGCTTTTTTTGTGGTTCCATTTTTAGGAATTTTGGATTTTTAATTTTGGTGTTCTGGAGCTGGTTTCGTGGAAGCTCTGTTTGGTTGGCGAGAAAATGCAAGAAAGTGGAAATATAAAATAATTTGAATTTGGCATTGCATTTTTTGGTTGCTTAACTTATGTACTAGTAGAAATGAAAAAAATTTCAGAGACTATATACTTATATATATATCTATATTATATGTATGTATGTGTATATTTGTTTTCTGCATTCTTTTTAAATGACTTGATACTGTTGCATATTTTGTTTTCTTCCATTTTTATTAGCACTTGAGCAGGTTCCTTTGTAATTTGATTCACGTTTTCATGAAATTTAGTTGAGTCGACAAGATTATAGTTCCTGGGCCTTTTTTAATTGTGATTTTTCCTAATTTTTTTCTTTTTAAACTTTTGCAGTTCAACGGGTCTGCATATTGGTGCTGATGTTCGTTTTTATACTTGCGAAGAACCTAAGAAGTTAGGGAGATTTTAGAAGTCATGAGTAACTGTGTTGAATCATGCAATGGAGATTTGGTGCAGCTTAGCAATGGCGTGAAAGAAAATGATAATCCGGATCTTGGCCTTCTCCAGGATTTGGATTCTTATTTGGAAGAAATCAATGACCGGTTGACCATATCGAGGGTGGTGAGTGACTCGGTCATCAAGGGGATCGTTAATGCGGTAACACAAGAAGCAGCAGAGAAAATTGCTCAGAAAGAACTAGAGGTGACTAAGCTGAAGGAAATGTTACATGTTCACAGCGTGGGTGGTGATGAAAACGAATTCTTACCCATGGAGCGAGAATCAAAAGTTACTGAAGACAGATTTATTAAAAAAGGTGCCAGAGGTGGCGTGTGTCCTAACTTTCTTGAAGCTGTCGTAGAGCATGATGGCATAGAAAAATCTTGGGGCATCGTAAGAGGAACAACTAAAGAGCAGTTCAACAAGCTCAAGAATGAAATTGATAGAATTAGAGGGTGTAGTTCAATCAAGAGGATTGGTTCTGGTTCTCAGTTGTTGGGCTTGGGTGATGTATCTCACAGATGGATTGATGTGGATAGATTGTTCGATAGCCTGAAAGACACAGTTGAAACTGTCTTTCAACAGGTGGAAGAAATGGTTAGCTCGGCAAAGGCATCAGTCTGTGAATGGCAGCAGGAGCAGGATTTTAAAGCAGAAATAGAAGCACTGGTGATGAGGAATTGTATTTGGAGTATTGAAGAAAAAAATCGGGACCGGTTTTATGGCAATAAGAATTTGAACTGGCATGGAAGGATGGAAGAGATATCAAGTTTACGTGAGGAATTAGATACCATTTCTAAATCACTATCTGTTTCTGACATTGGGCACCTATCTTCTCACGGGTCCTTGGTAGTAGATGAAGAGAGTAATAATCATAAGAAGGGTGACCGTTCACACCACAGATTTTTGAACAATCTTAAATCATCGCCGTCATTATCATTGATATCTTCATCAAACTCAACATCAACATCAACATCAACATCATCATCTCTTTGGGAAGTGGATGTCAACCTGCTTACGCATATGTCAACAGATGAATTGAAAAGCTATTTGACTAAATTGAAGAGAAGTCATGAGTCTGATGTGCTGGATTTGACTGAGCAAATTTACAGCCTGATGAGAGATTTTTTTAAAGAAAAGGGATCCTCTTTGCCATCAAAGAAAAGCAAGGAGTTTGACATGTTGCGTAGGAGAATCTCCGAGGTTATTACCAAATTAGATGAAGTTCTTGTTGAAAAGGAGGAAGTTGCTACATGTGGTAATAATGAAGAAAGTCTTAGCAGTTTGAAAGAGAGACTGGAATTACTCATTTCAGAAAACCACCACCTCAGAGATTTGCTTGCAAATAAGGAAAGGGAAGTTAAGTGTCTTTCACTTCAAGTTTCTGAAGCTGCTGAGAAAATGTCAGAACACTCCATGGCTGAGGCAAAGTTGTTAAAAACAACTGCAAATCTTAAATCAGCTGTAGAAGATGCGGACATTGAAGCTTTAATTGTTGAAGATACATATGCTTGTATTCTCAGGGAAATGATGGATCAAATTAAAAGCATTGCTGAAGAGTCGCTTGTGGAAAATATTTATATACAACAAATTAACAAAAGTATACTTAAAGAAGCTTCCCACAGTGCTCAACCTGCTAGCCAATCTGAAATTGAAGATTTGAATATGGAGTACACTATCATGCAAGAACATTTTGTACTTGTATTCCAAGAAGCCATGAAAGATGCTGAGCAAAATCTCAAGAACCTGAACGTGAAATATAGAGAAGAAAATGAACTCCGGGTTTCGCTTGAGATGGAAAAACTAGAAAAAGAGAAACAATTTGAAGTTGAGGTTGCGAACAAAGAGAGATTAAAGACAGAAATAGCATCTCTGTCAGAAGAGAAGGAGCAGTTGGCTCATGATGCAACAGCTGCATTGGAAAACGAAAGGGAGCGATATGAATTAGCCGCTCAGGAGCTACATAATTTAAAGGACGAGACATGTCGGCTACTGAAATTGATTTCTGACAGCATTGAAGAGTCAAAGGCAACCAAGCAGCACTTAATTGATGCATTGGAGCAAAATGAAAGATATAAGGCTGACGTGTGCAAGCTAGATCAGAAGCTTGAACTAGCAATGAAAGAGTTGCGCGAAGAGAGGAGAAAGCTTCTTGATGCTAACCAAGAGAAGCAAAATGTTGTTTCTTTGTTTGAAGCAAAAGAAAGGGAGCACAAGCAACAATTGGAATCAATGGCTGTGCATATATCGAAAGTGGTTGCTGAATTTGAATGTAGAGTAACACAAGATATTTCAGGGAAATGTTCAAGGTACTTCCTCAGTTATTTTTATCTTTTATTGCTTCCTGTAAATGCTTTTTGCGCGCTAGTTCTGTGTATAGATTTGCTTCCACATTCTTATATGATTCTTGGGACGAGTGATGTTTGTTAATCTAATGGGATGTGTTTCTCCATTCAGAAACCTCATGTGTATGCATGTAAGTTGAAATGATTTTGTTGTATTTTTAAGTGCCTGGAAAGAGGTTTGTGCGAGGTAGAAATGTTATGTGTCAGACTAACCTTTTTTACCTAGATAATATCATTAGTTAGTGTTAACTTAGCCTCATCAGTTCTAGTTTTTGGAGTACAATGATCTTAAAGAAAACACCTTTAATAGTGTTAATGTGATTTCTTCTCGATAATTGTTTAAATCATTACTTAGGTGAAGAGATCAAGGACTTCCATATATTACTCTTTGCTTAAGCAAAAAGCTAATGTGCCTCTGGCCTTGTTTCCAGGTTGAAGAATTTGAGTTATCAATTGTGCTTTCTTAAACAAAAAGCTAATGTCATTGTAAGAAGAGGGTTGCTGTACCAGCAGAGACTTGAAAAGAAATGTTCTGACCTGGAAAAGGCCGAAGCTGAGGTATGTGAATTCAAATCAGATCAGCGTTGTGCATTGATATTTTCCAACTTGATGTTTTGGCCTCATATTATATTTCGTGCTATAAAACCCATGGAATTGAATTGATGCTTGCATAATGCATATACATGTGGGAGAAGCTGTTTGAGATGCCCTGCTGGATGACGGAACAGTGTAAATATGATTGGAAGTTATCTTCCATTACTGACTCTGATATGACTTCCATTTCACAATGTTATGCTGTAGCATTGTAATGTAAGAAAATGAATTATATATTTTTAGTATATTGTTTATGAAATTATGATTATGAATCAAACATAGCTTTTGTAGTTTGTGTGCCCTAGATCATTAAAATATACTAAAAACGAGCATTACGATTTATTTTTATCAATACCTTCTATAATGGAGTTTTTATCATTGATTTTCAGGTTGATCTTTTGGGGGATAAGGTGGAGACTCTATTGAGCCTTGTTGAAAAAATACACATTGCCCTTGATCATTATTCACCAGTTTTGAAGCATTATCCTGGAGTAAGATGCTTTCTTCTATTCATTTGTTGTTCATGTTAGCTCTATATGCCTTCTAGATTTCAGAGGAACCAGTGTAAAAGATGAATGCGTTGATGTCTGGAAATATCGGATGCCCGTGTTTGAAAAAAAGACTGATGTCGGTTTTAATATCTATTAAAATTGGCGGGAATGACAGAAATTTACTCCAAGCATGACAGTTAATAAAAACATTAATTGATTCTGAATTATAATAAAAATGTAGTGCTTCTAACAAAAGCACTTCTGCAAATAGGCCCTTATATATTTTGTAGGAATTAGTTGGAATACGTTCTTATCTGCAATAAGTTTTTGGTTCAGAAGATCTAGTGTGGTGAATGCTTTGATGCGCGGAAAGAACATTTGTATATTGACCAAGTATTTTTCTCTTGCGTTTGCAGATAACTGAAATTTTGAAGCTGTTAAGGAGAGAATTAACTGGAGAAACTAAAGCAGCTTGATGCACCCCTTTGCCTTGGTAAGGTTTCCACTTTAATGGTTTCATCTTTCTACAACAGCTCACCATGTCACGTAACTCCTATAAATATGTTTAAATTTTACTTATTTGAGACTGTTAGGTATACTCTTAATGGTCTCGCAATGCATCTTTCGTGTGACGCAGTGTCAGCAGAGTAGTTGTCAGGCAATTCATCACATTTGTCAAAACAGCCATCCAAGAAAAAGTTGATGAGCCATAAGAGATATAATCCCATATGATAGACATGTTGCAGAAGCAAAATTTGACAAAGGAATGAGATGTGAAATGGTTCGCAACCAATACGGGCAATGCGGAAATAGGGAGCTTGGTTTTGTGAAGTACAGTTTTTACTCAGTTCTTTTTGTCTAGGAGCCGAGGTAAAACGTCGTCTGGAGTTGACCGCTAGTTCCTCCTCCTTCCATGGTTGGAAGAAGTTGTTTTAGAGTTCACTTAGGTTTAGAGCTTGTTTTGTATGTGTGCCATAGCAATACTACATGTTTGTTTCAGCTGCGCTTTCTGTTGTAAAACTAAAACTCTCTTTCATAAAATAAATTAATTAATTAAAACGACATCGGAACCGAAAAATCGAACTTTTTTCTTCATTGTTGAAAAATAGAATCATAGATTGCTATTCAATTGTTGCAGATGAAATACAGCTTCTTCTCGGACTTGGTCTCTTCTGATTTTTCCAGTCGTAGTTGCCGGAAATGGCTTCTTCCATAGAATGAATATTTTTGGTATCTTAAACCTGCAAAGATCATAAGAAAATTGTTAAGCATTTTATGGTAAGTGCACACATGTACAAAATTTTCCGCACGAAGCAAGAACGAGAAATTTGAGAACACTACTTGGCTCCTTACCCCGTCAAATTCTTTTGTTTACAATATTGGCAAAGAATCTCACTGGAGATGTGAGGCTTTGTTTTGAGACCGAGTGTTTGATGCTTGTATTCAGCCACTGACAATCTTCTCTTATTTGAACACAAGCAACAACCATCTCGGTTAGACGAGCAACCGGAATTCCGAAGACAACAACGCCGGCGACCCCTGGATGTTGTAACCAGTGGCGGATCCAGGAAATAATGTTTGGGGGGTCAATAAGGATAGCGCGCGCAGCGTGAAATTTTTTTTTAACAGAAACGGCATGCATATCATCATTTCATCGGGTCTTGGTAGGATAGCGCGACCAGCTACTCCAAAATCCTTGTTCAAAGGTCCTGAACGTTCAAACATGGAGGAAGAGATTGCTTCAACTTGTCGGCCTTCTCGGAATCAAACACACAAAGTGTGTAAAGGTACTTGGAGCACCGAACCTTGAACTTGACAGCATCCTTTGTCCTCTTGATTTTGACATTGCGGGCATCCTTCCTTCTTGCAGTTAGAAGGAAATCCTTGTCCTCTATTTTATGAGAGTAAAATCTCACACAACGATTGTGCAAAACAATCCAACGTTACCTTTACTGTGTCCAAGAATTGCCCTGGGTGCACGTTTCGCCCTAGAGAAGTATTCGACCACAGAGTGCAAGTCATCAGCCTCTCGCCGATAGTTACCATACTAAAAAGTGCCTTCACTTTCCCTGACAACCAAAAATACCACAACTAATCAGCATCAATGTAATCTTAGATCTCAAATTGAAAAAAAATGCAAACTTTGCAAGTACGAACAGTATGATAAGGAAAGAGCCAGGCTTACAACTATGAAACTAACGAGGCAGTGGCGGCCGCCACTCCCCTCGCCGGGAAACACCACTAGACCCCAAGTCTTCGCCACTCCCCTCGCGCGCCTTGCCGGAAAATAATGGTTCACGCAGAGGCAAAGCCCTCTGTTTTTCTGGGTTTTCTGGGCAATCTGCACTGCAGATTGCATTCTAATTTAAAAAAAAAAAAAAAAACCAGGCCAAAACGACGCCGTTTTGGACCTGGTAAAAAAAAATTAAAAAAACTAAATCAAAACGGCGCCGTTTTGATAGTTGAATTTAAAAAAAAATTATAATGGGGTGGGGGACCGCTTCCGCGTGTCACCCCAATGAAACCCTAGCTTTCTTCTTTTGTCTGTACCCCCCACACACACCCCATCCGCACACTGCACACCCTTTACTCTTTTCTATCCTTCTCTTCTGTCTTCTTCACCAATAATCAACACACACACAGAGAGCGGGCCACCATCCATCTCAGCCAAGTTGCTCCTCAAACTCCAGCAGCCAAGCCAAAGCCACAAAGTCCTCTTTAATTTCTGTTCCACAAGCCAGTGAGCCACTCTCCTCTCCTCTGAGAGATTGAGCCGGCTCCAATCACTATTTAAAGGTAAATTTTTTAATTCTTAAATGCATAATCCCTACCTTAATTATGTGAATCAAATGATATGGTTATTGATTATTCATGTCATAGTTATTTAATACAAATTATGAAATTATTTTTTAGGGTGAAATTATTGATACGAATTGTTGGGAATTAGAAGAATCATGTGTATGTATAATTGTACATATAGATAAATTGGCATGTCAAAAGTCATCTTAAACTAAACTTATTGGTAATAAGCCACATTTTGAATGAAATTATGAATGATAATGAGCCTATTATGCGACGTTTTCATGACATGAAACCTCGCCAGCAACAATTGTAATTTGTTTGTATTGATTAATTATGGAAGACATTACTATATAAAAAGATTTAGTTGTTGCCATTTTTCTTTAACCTTGCATTCTTTTAAGTTCGCTCCTCCCCCCGAGAAATCCTGGCTTCGCCACTGTAACGAGGTGCACACAACAAAACTCTACACAGAACCTGCAACCGAAGTCTTTTTCTTCTCGCGCGCGCGCCCTTCCTTCTTCTTCAACCTGCAACCGAAGTCTTTTTCTTCTTTTAGACATTTCATCGAACACGTGGTGTGCAGCTCCAAGAGGTCGCACCAGCAGCTCCAAGGGGTCGCACCAGCAGCTCCAAGGGACCTCTAAGGTTATTTCCATGGCTTCCAAGGGGTCGTGCAACCCCATTGACCCCACTGTGGCTCCGCCTCTGGTTGTAACAGGGTGCGCTCCACCTACAGATTGGAGATAATTAATGAAATAAGTAAATATACTTTTCTAAATCGGTAAATCCGTGACAAAAAAATTTAGATTTTATGCTCCAGTTATATGTCACTTTGAAACTCTCGTATCTCTTCAGGGTAAATGTTCTCCCCTCCACTTTTGATCCGACCATTTGCTCGTCCGATTAGCCATACATTACCTGAGTCATCAGTGGATCCAATGTCACCGGCGTCAAACCATACTTTATCACCGGAAACTGACGCATTTGGTGGACTTCCATGCCAATATCCGAGCATGACATGCTGGCCTCTAGTTAAAATCCTCCCCACACGAGAAGAGCCGTCAACTGAGATCTTCAGTTCTACGTGAGGAGAAGGCTTCCCAACATAAACACCTCTTCCTTGTTGAACCATTCTTAGCGGCTGGCCGGCGGTGTCAGCAGTTGGTTCGTACAGAGTCATGAAGGTTAACGACGAGCATGTCTCCGTCATTCCTGAGTTATCCAATCAAATTCAATCCTAGGCGCCAAACGAGCACTAAGTATATGAGCGAGGGAACCTGCTGGGATAAAGAGAGACTTATTACCATAAGCTGAGAGAAGCTTAGCTTTTGGGAACAATTTAATGGCAGCTTTGGTCAGCTCAATTGACAAGCCTCCACCTCCATTTAATACCTTCTTCACACTATCTATCCCTTTCCATGTTTCCTTCTCCCCGACAGATTTCGGAACATGAACTTCGAAAAACAACAGTTCAAGACTCATGTGTGCACTGCATATGAAAGACAGAAAAATTCGTTCTTTCATGCGTGTGATACAAAAAAAGGGTCGTCATTTACCTGAATCTAGAAACCAAATTGGCCATCATTGCCGGAACGGTGATCAGAGAAGTCACGCTATGTAGCTCTATGGATTCGAGGGCGGATTTAGCCTCAAACTTGGGCATCAAGACATGGCACGCTCCCACCATCAGCATTGCCAGGGCAGATGACAAACCACCAATGTGGCACAGCGGAGCAGCGTGCAAATAAACCTACAAATATCCACACCATTAAATGTTATGAACTCGTTCAATTTCACGATCTGAATCTCGTTCAACCCCTGCTTTCATGCGAAAATCTAATTTGAGCGTTCTCCACGCAAACTACAAGAAGAAGACATGCATACATAATCCTCACCGTAGCCAACAATGGCGATTTTCGATGGGGACTGTATGATAAAAGCCGAGTGGCTTAGGTTAACTCCCTTTGGCCTTCCAGAGGTTCCTATGTAACAAGAACAATTTTAGAACCTTTTGAGGACAAAGAAAGAGAGAGTAGAGATCATACCAGAAGTGAAGCACATGATCACAGCCCCCTCAGGCGCCCAGGAGTAATTCAACGTCGGCCCAGCGGCCCAGCCCCAACGGAGTTCTTTTTAATCGATTCATTAGTTATCACTGGCCAAACGAAGAATGCAGATTAACACATTAAACCAACTGGTTTTTGTTACAATTTTCTGAACGTAAAATTCATGTCTTAGAAACTACATACGATTATTCGAAGCCCTTACGACGTCCGAGGAAGGCGAATCCAACGAAACATGCCACCTCAGAGAAGGTACATACATCGCGGAGTTGAAGCTTTGAGTACCAAGGGATGCAGCTATCATCAGTCACCAACATTGCTGGCCTCACTACTTCCATTGCCAAAAGTGCTTCTTCATAGCTCTGCAGGGGGTGAAAGCACAAATTAAAAAAATGTTGCGTCAGATTTGGTTACAGAAAAGTAATTGACAAAAGTATGGTTTCAAAGTTTACTTACGTACCCATCGGTAATTAAGAGGAGCAGCTATGGCACCAACATCTGCAATGGCTAGTAACCACTCCGAATACAATTCACTAATCATAAACAACCAAATATTAGTACTTATCCATGGTTTAGAATGGCTAAAAGTGCTTTCAGATAATCAAAGCGCTTACGACATGATAGGTAGAAATAACAAAAAAGAGTTTATAGATTTTTAAAAGCACTTTTTTGTGCTTTCTTTAGAAGCATCAATTTAGTAAAGTTATGAGTGCAAGTGCTTTTTCAAGTAGCATTTGGACATTAAGAAATTTTTTTTTTATGCTTCTAGTAAAGTTATGCTTGGAAGTGCTTTCTTAGGAAGCATTTGAATGTTAGTAAAAAAATTTGTTACGCTTCTAGTAGCGTTATGAGCATAAGTGCTTTTTAAAGAAACCTAAGGGCCTGATTGATATCTTATTTGAAATTTTTTATTATTTCTCAAAACATTTCTTAAGAACATTTCTTGAAAACAATTTTTTTTAAGACTAAAAAACTTGATTAGTTTGCGATTTAAAAATTTTAAATCTTATGATTTAAACTAGACAAAGAGATTTAAAAAGAAATTGTCGCACGAAAGAGAGAAAGAGGAGAGAGAAGGGAAGAAAATAAAAGATGATTGAAAAAAAAGAGAAAGAAGAGAGGATCGGACGAGATAGAGAGGAAGATGAGTGAGAGAATGAACCAAGAGAATGAAGAAAGCGGATTGGAGGAGAGACGAAAAAGGTACAAAAAAAAAAGAGAAGAAAAGAAGAAAAGAGAGAGAGAGATAGATTTGGAGTGAGAGGAGAGAAGGGAGAGTAAAGAAATGAGTGAGTTTAAGTTTTAAAAACTCTAAAAACTCCTCTTTTTTTTTTATGTTTTTAGAGAATAGACTATATTTTTGAGTTAGTTTTAGTTCAGTTTTTTAAAACGGTCCCTACAAATAAGTTTTTAAGGCTTAAAAGAAAATTATTTTTGAGTTTAAAATTGAATTCAAGTATGGTACCAAACAGGCCCTAAGAATTCTAGTTAAAAAATTGTTACGCTTCAGTAGGGCTACGAGCAGAAGTGCTTTTTCAGGAAACTTGATAAATTCTAGTGAAATTTTTTGTTATGCTTCTAGCAAAGTTATGAGCAAAAGTGCTTTTTCATGAAACTTAGGGTCTATTTAGTATTCTACTTGAACCTAACTTTTTAAACTAAAAAACAATTTTCAAGTTTTAGGCTTTAAAAACTTGTTTGGTATAACTATTTTCAAAAATTGAATTTAAGACTAACTAAAAAATATAGTCTATTCTCTAAAAACATAAAAAGTGAGTTTTTAGAGTTTTTAAACTTAAACTCACTCATTTCTTTTCTCTCCATCCTCCCATCTCACTCCAAATTTATCTCTCTTTTTTCTTTTTTCTCTTTTTTTTTTTTTATTTTTTACTTTTTTCTTCTCTTCTCCAATCCGCTATCTTCATTCTTTCATTTCTTTTTCTCACTCATCCTTCTATCTATCTCGTCCGACCCTCTCTCTTTTTTCTCTTTCCTTCAATTATCTCTTACTTTCTTTCCTCCTCTCTCCTCTTTCTTCCTCTCCTGCGATCTCCTCTTTTAGATCCCTTTATCTAGTTTAAGTCGTAAGATTTATAATTTTTAAATCGTAAACCAATCAAGTTTTTGAGTTTTAAAAAAAATATTTTCAAGAAATATTCTTAAGAAATGTTTTGAGAAATGATAAAAAATTTCAAATATAATACCAAATAGTCCTTATGAATTCATAGTGTTAGGGTAAAATTGGCAATCCCTGACAAAATGCCTGAGTCTGTAATAGCTTAGACTTGTTACATATTTTCAATTGTAATAGTTTAAGTCTAGGGAGGTTTCTCACACTTTCGATGCGAAAATGTTACCGAAACGCGATACTCATTCAGGTACGTTTGCATGCATCCAACTACATTCATCTATATCACATGTTATTGTATTAGGGATAGGACAGTGTGGGTTTTATTTCTCTAGAATGAATTATCCCGTCTATCAAACCGTGTTTTCAAACTTAGGTGTTTGCATGTTGGTAGGACTTATCTGTTTGCATGGGATTTATCTGATTGCATGTTGGTGGAGTTATCCAACTACATGGATTGCATTGTAGTTCTTATCAGATAAGAAATTGGTGCGGTGCTTTTTGTATTTATATGGGAAGTCAGGGACGTGCTCAAAGTGAGCCATATATGCATGAAAACTGATTTCATTGAAAAGAATTTTTAGAAGCACCAGCTTTAGTTTTTTTGTGCGTGGAAAAATAATTTGAATACTGCTGTTATATTGTGGTTCCAACAGCATGGGTTTTTAAGAGAAAATATTATTTTTCAGGTTGATTTCTTTGAGGTTTCAAATTGAATATCAATTATGGGAATGTGCCTTGTGATTTTCGTAATTGATTGTTTTTCAAACAAACACTTCATCATATAAACATTCTGCATGATCGAGTTAGCATCTTGCAAAGTTCGAGGGAAAGGTGATTGACGGCTGCGTTAGTGCCGTGCCACTTCAACTCGAAGACTGAAGAAAGATCGAGTAGCAAAGCGTGGAGACAAAGCTGCCAACTGGTATGAGTGTCTAGTTGATGAGTTTTGTAAGTCTTTATGTATTCTTTCTTTCTTAGTGCTTCCTGGTTTGGTAGCCCGAGGATTTTCCCAGTGGTGGGTTTTGCCTCATAAAATCCTACATCGTGTGTGTGCTCTTTATATTCGTACTGAATATTTGTGTAAGATTATGTTTGCATAACTGATTAATTTAAACCATAATTTGCATTAGTGTTAAGTTGAAATTTATAGATTAAGTTAGTATCCATCCTAGGACTTTCACATAGTAATTTGTTACGCTTTTAGTAAAATTATGGGCAGAAGCTGTTCATTTGGAAGAAATCCTCAACAAGTCCTTGGTTTATTGTCTTTGAAAAGCATTGTACAAGTGAAGCAGCACCTGTTGAAGGCAGCAATGGAAATGACGTCGCCGGAACATAGGCCGAGTTGGAGCAGGCCTTGGGCCAGATATATGACACCACCCACGAATTCCTCGCCGGTCTTTTGCCGGTTGCCGGTGATCGTGACCGCGGAATTGCGCCGGAGAGTAGATATAGGAGGGTCAGGCATTGGCGAATGTGGGCCTCTGAGTAATTACCCATTTCTATGGGGAGTAAACTAGGAATTTACTAAAAGTCCTGTTATTTTTGTGAAGCTCTCTGCAGCTGCAGGTGCTCTACCGAGCTCTGAGTGTTCCGTTTGCAAGAAAGAGCGCGGCGAGAGAGGGAGCTCAGAACAGAATGCCATTGGACGGATTTGGATCCCTGAGCTAATGGATAGGAACCTTCTGACCAAGTGTTATGGGCCGTTAGATTTTTATCCAACGACTACAAACAGATGAGTCATTTTAAAGTTATAATAATTATAGCCGTTAGATGAAAATCCAATGACCCATAACACTTGGTCAGGAGTATCCTCTCCATTAGCTCAGGAGGGGATCCAAATCCCCATTGGACGACTGGATTTTCAAGTTATCTTATCTTGTCCCAACACGTGGACATATACATGTCACGACCAACGACTTCATACATAAGCATAAACCATCACGGAATGATTCAGTGGTTGGAAACGAATATTAGACTTGTATTCCACATTGCACGTCTTAGGTTTGATTTCTAAAACTAGTGAATCCTACAATGGTAGCTAAAGAAAGGCTAAAATGTCTTTATAAGTCTTTCCGGTCCTATAAAAATAGACTGTCGTGATCTATTTAAAAAAAAAAATGCAAGCATAAGCATTACGTTTGGGTGCAGACTAAAAGAACTTTGGCCTTTGACTAGGCGACTGTTTTACTTAACTCTTCTTTATTTATTTGTTTTTTCAATCCAAATTGAAACGGTATGATATAGAATGAATCAATAGTTTTATATTTGACTAGAATCAAACAAAAAGATAAATAAGCGGAGATAAATGCCATTTCCTTTCCTTGCAATGTCCAAGCCAAGGGTTTTCTTAAATTTTTTACTGGAACTATCTTCTCCTTATCCTTAATTTATAAATAAGGATCTGAGCCAAAGATCTAATGGCTAAAGATCGACACCAAGACTAGCAATAGTAAATGTAAAAAAGAAATGCATGGATGTATGCTATTTTCTGAAATAGAATTTGATCAATCATTTTTTTCTGTTGTTAAGGTGGAGAACTGAACCAAGAATTCTCTTTCTTTATCATCAATCGAATCACTGTTCAAGACCCATAATTCATATGGTTACCGGGTTGGTTAAATGTTGTTAATGAGAATAGTAAAAAGTATATAATAGCTAAGTCACGAAAAACTCCCACCAGCTAAGATATTATGTTAATAATATCTTAAATCAATCACTTATTGTAATGTCATGTTTGATGGTCAAATGTTTTATCTTTCTCACGCAACAATACATGATTAGATTAAAAATCAAGCGCTGAGAAAATTTCATGTGCATGATAGTTCTTCTCAGCTTAAAAATCTCATGTGCATTTTGTGCAAAGGTTACTTATCGCCGTCAATGTCTACAGTTAAATTTGATTTTCCTTCTTTTTCTTCTTTGTCATCGAAGTTAAAGAAGAAAATTGAAAGAATGAAGCAGAAGCAACTTAGACCCAAAGTTAAGCCCATGTTAAAAATAAATAAAAAAAGTTAAGCTCCTAAATGATGCTCCCAATTTAAGTCATTTCCAGTCGAGTAGTGTTACACTTACAATCTATTTGTACCATCATTTGTACTATTTTTTTAATAAAGGTAAGATCTATCAATACATGTAAGTCATATCTCTGTTAGATAAAAAGTAAAAATATCATTTTTTGTTTCCAATCACGTATAGTACCATAAAGTAAAATGTGACAAACTAAACTACTTTTGGCATCACGGATGAACCATGACCATTCTTTATCAAGCTTTACAAAAATACAAAGCAAAAGCTTCACCCGGCCATCTTTTTTTTTTTTTTTTTTATGTCATACATATTACATGATCGTTATGGATGGTTTCTTGGATTGGATTTGGTAACTCAAAAGAGTCAAGTTACGTTAAAGCAATGGAAGGCTAAATTTTTGAATTATTCAAGTTTTTTTATAAGGTGTTGTTATCCTAGCATTGGTGGGAATCGGAAGTGATAATTTCATTCACGACTAGTCCATTCTCGAGTTCAACTTGGACAAAACTTGGTAGTTCACTTCTATTTCTTCCTCCAACATAATGTGAGTCTAGTTGAAGATATCGATAGAGCACAAATTAAGGTATCCCCTACCGCAAACGTTGTTGTGTGGGATTCGGTGAGATGTAAAGCAACCCATGATTTTGTGAGACTATGAATGACGCGGTGAACAATCTGATAAGTGTTTTTTGAGTCTAGCGAGCCATCCAATCCAATGCCAAGCACAAAAAGTGATTAAGAACAAGATTTCCCATCAAATACAATCTGTTCCAATGAAATCATGTTCTTTTTCTCCCTTCTATTATTACAGGGTGTAAAATCTAAAAGAGTAAAAGGGTGCATGTTAAGGAGAGATTTCAATATGTTCGGAACATTGGTGATAAACCCTTTGTTATTGTACAAGTAATGAGATACTTGTGTTAAAAAATTAATAACGTATAAAAAAAATATCCGCTTGTATATGAGCAATGTTATTCATACTATGTTTTTGTACCATATTTCCATATCATCTTATGTATGTGGCATTTGATGTGGATAGTCACATATTAAATTTGGTTCATTAGTTAATAAACTAATAATTAAGAAAAACTAGTTAATTAAATTATGATTGTGGCTTACTATGAGTATTTCTCTTTCATTTCCTTGGGTTTTGCAAATTTTTCATTGGGCATAAAACCATGAATTAATCATTTTCATACCATGTTTAACTAAATTTAAAAATTTGATTAATTTAAATGATACGACTGTTCACATCAGATATCATCCAAAATGATATAGAAATATGGTACAAAAATATAGTATGAATATCATTACTCCTTATATAATGACATTTGATATATTAATCGTGTTTCCGACAAAATGAAAAAACTTCTAGTGATTTAGGTTGGTGTGTGAGAAATTATATATTATGAATGGATAATAGTACAGTACAATAAAGCAAACGATGACCGTTGAATCAACTCAAGTCCATTATATAGACTTCTGTGAATTCTATATTGCAATACAGTGGAGAGAGACAGAGAGCGAGAGCAGCCACTGCTCAGTCGTCACTGGTCTCCGACAAACGACAACCAAAACACAGATTTCTGAATCCAGACAAAAAGAAAAAAAAAATCATATAAAACGACGCCGTTGGTGGACCTGAGCCCTCTGGAGACAGAGGAAGAGGCAGAGGCAGAGAGGGAGAGAAATGGCGTTTTTCATCCAAGTTGGTGTAGCAGCGATCGCGTGTTTCTGATGGCGGTGGCGATGGAATCTGACGGGCGGGAGCTGCGTCCGTCTGATCACGGCCTCGTGTACCAGAACCCGGCGCCGGCCAGCGCGAAGTCGCCGGCGGATGAGAAGTCGTTCTTCGGCGGGGGAGGAGGAGAGAATTCTCCGGCGGCGGGGGACGCAGCACTGCCGAAGCCAAAGGCAATGAACTCGAGCGACGCCGACGCGTCGTGGTGGAAGGGCGTGGTGGCACGTGACGGCGGGAGGCGTAGAGATCACGTGGAGGACGTGTTGCTGGTGGCGAGCTTGGTTTGTGGGATTGCGGGTGTCGCTCTGTTCGTGGCCTCCGCTTTTGTTTACGTCTTAAGGTACCGAAAGCATAAATCTTTACCGTCAGAATCACCGTCATCTTGAGGTAATTACATTAAGTAATACCTAAGGGCATATAAGTTTGGAGCCGCTTTTAAACGACTGAAAGCGTTTTTAGAGAAAATATTTTTGAATTGAAAAAACACTGGGTTGAAATGTTTTCTTCTAAGTGCTTTTCAGCAGCATTTTGATTAAAGATTAGTTCTAAAAACATTTTCATCAAAAACACTTTCAACTATTTTAAAAGTACTCTCAAACGACTCCTAATGCTTCTTTGGATTTATACTCTTTAATTTTATTTTTTTCGTGTAAATAAACTTAAGAGTTGCATCATATGCGATAGAGGATGCAGATGTCCAGTTATTTTTCTTTGATCCTTGTTAATTTGCCTTAGTGCTTTTAATGTTAATGCTTGTAATGAGGTTCCAAATTAATTAACAATGCCTAGAGTTGCTTTTAATTTAGATTATGGTTACACGTCCTACTCAATGATGCTCGTTTTATGCATGATCTAAATGTGCAATATCCATTAAATCTCTATATGTAAAATCTAAACCATTAATTTTTTGAACCACTCAGATAAATATTATTTCATACTATTTCAAGATTTAAGTGTTATAGTTAGATGTAGGTTGTAATGTATCGATATAGCTTTTATTATGTGAGATATATGGAGGAATAAGTAAGGATTAATTTGTCACAAAGGAATGCCAAAAATAGAGTAAAATTAAAAGAGAGGATCTGGGATCTTCCAATTACATCCGTTCATCGTACATCGTGTTATCAGTTTTTGTTAGTTACTGTTTATATTCAATTTTAAATAAAAAAATTTATAATGATTTTTGACTGCACGATATATGATGAACGAATGTGATTGAAGAATCCCAAAATTCTCACAAAGATGATCCGAGAATCCTCCTGCTAAAATTAATTATCGGTTGGTGAGCATTTAGTCCAGCTCACAGCACATGGTTGACTTTGGGTTAGCTTGTGGGTGACGGCATCGACAATCAAAGTGAAGATGATGATAAAGAACACGGTTACTTGAGTCGGATCTTTGAACAAGAATCGGATTCAATTTAGTAATATTTATCTTCTCGTTAATTAGCTCTTAGTCTAGTAGTATTTACATTCTCAATAGTTGAATAGAGCAATTTCAATTTTTCAAATCAAAGATTCGGTTCAACTTCTCGTGTTTACTGACATATAAAATAATAAAATATGGAGTTTAAATTAAAATCCGTGATGAAATACTTAATATCAAGAATCAGATCAACTAGGAGGTACCAATTGATATGATCATCTTCTCCAAGTCATGAGCATGCTCGAGAATATATTATGCGAGCTCAATAACATTAGACCGAAATTTATAATGTATGACTACCTCCTTGACCCTGAACCCATTTCTTCTCTCCCTTCCTCGATTCATGACTTCCCTCGTTCCAAGTAAACATATGGTTAGGGTTACTCTTCCCTTTTATTTCATCTCATCCAGGTCAACTTCTTTTCTAGAACTAGAAGATTCCAATGGAAATAAGCAAAACCATTGTGACTAAGGGACTTATGATCTAATTTTTCCCAATCGGACGGCAATTCATTAACTAGAATGACAACTAAATTTCTATAAGCAAGTACACAAGATGGAGACAAGTGCACGGTGCCATTCCATACAAAAATATACATACAACGAAGACAACAACAACAACAAAGCCTTCTCCCACTAAGTGAGGTCGGCTGATCCTAGAACGCCACTGCGTTCGGTTTTGCGCCAAGTCTTCTGTTAGCTTCAAGCACTCATTGTCTTTCTTACCAAAAACGACAGGTTTTTATTGAATACCATGAACAAAAAATAATTGAATTATTTACCTATTGCTCAAGGGGCATCCACTCTAGTTCTAAATCTAATTCTCCACACTCAACATTCTGCAGCTTGAGAGACAGCTCCTGTTTTACCTTCCCGTCGATAATATTAACTGTGCTATCGTCTATGAGGGCATTGTCATTCGACTTCAGCCATTTTCCGATTTGCATGTTGCCAAACATTCCTGCATCCCCGAACGCCATTGCAGATGTTATCAAAGGCTGAAGATCAACCTCTGCTTCTCCCATTATGTCATCAGCCGAGAACGTGTCATAATCAAACACCTGCTGCAATGTGACAAGCAGAACGATAGGGTAAGATACTCCCCAAGTAATACATAAAGGCTTCTGATTAGACCAGAGGCAGAGGCTAATCTGCTATCCATGTATACCATAATCTACAAGTGAAAAAGGATAAAAGGTAAAACCTTGGAAGCAGTCAGATTGCGTCAAAGTTTTCCTTATCATCAAAACAAACTTTGTTGCGACATTTAACATAGGAATAGCGGGAGGCTGACGTGACTGCTTCCGGTGAGTATGGCCCACTTCGTATTAGGGTTAGGATGGGTGGGCACATGCTTTTTGACACACATTTTGACACCCACTTTATAGGGTCCACTTTGTAATGTATTTCAACGATTTGAATCATATAAATACATTATGAAGTGGGCCCTACAAAATGGGTGTTAAAATGCGATTAAAAAAAATGGGTGTTTCCTAATCTATCGAGTATAATAATAATCTCTTATCGAATAACAAATGAATTATGTGCAAAGATGAAGAGGAAAAGAGGCATATATATACGTACCAACTGCAAAGGTCCAAATTGCTCAGGTACAGACAGCATGAGTTCCTCATTCCAGACAGGATTCAAGTTACTCTTTATTACAGTCGTCCGAAGAGTCTACATCATCACCAACATTGTCATGATCAAATAAAGAAATGTCAGTCTCAAGTGAATTGAAATTGAAATTATCTTATTAACATAGCGGGTCGCAATCTATAAATGGTCTAACACGTGTAATCAAATCTAGCCCGTTAGCATGTGTCAACAACCCTGTTCTTTGAAAGTTTTACCCCCATGTTCCTTGTTATATGCAAAAACCAAGTAAAGATGAACTCTCTCTCTCCCCCATCCCCCCTTTTCGTCCCTTCAAACCCTGTTTTTGTCCCTCTAATCGCTCTCTTGGGGATATTTTGGATGTTTGACTTTGACATGGAGCTCAAATAAACAGAAAGTAACCAGGAACTAGGAAGTAAAGGGATCCCATAAATTCTACATGCTTCTGCATGTCAAGCAGATTCTGAAGTTTCAGTACCAAGGCAAAAAGAAAAGTGAATGAATTATTAACCTGCTGCCCAAGAGTCAGGATGACATAAGGATCGCTTGTCATCATATCTCGAATAGCTAAATTTGTGCCTCTAATCACCTTTACCTTCAATAAACCAATAAATTCTACCATGCCTTCCTGCTGCACATGTCAAGTATGGAACAAAGTTACATTCCACCCTCCCAAAAGTATATCAACTTTTACTTTAATACTCGAACTACATAATTGAAAGGCAGACATAAGGTGTGACAATATTTACCGATTTCTCTGAAGAATTTGAACGGAAACTATCGATAATCTTTCTAGAAAAACTATTTGATTGGAGAGTGCTCTGGAGAGAGTTCTTTCTAGAAGGACCTGAGTTAATCCGTAAGCTAGGTTTCAGAAAATCTTGAAGCTCATACTTTGACCTGCATAAATATGTGACTACTTTAAACATCTGAAAAATAACCCAACAATTGAATCTGCTCCATGGTAGATTCTAGAATTCTATATCATAACTAACCGGATGAATTTTGAACGTTCCTCATGACCGGCATCTGGTCCAGGCTTTGAAACTCCCACAGGAATAAAAGCCTCGTAAATTGAATTTGCAGAAGAGTTTCCTCCAACTTCTATCATTGCATCAATTTCATCATCAGACCATTCATCTAGGGTCACTGACAAAACCTGAACATTTCAAATTCATGTTGTTTAAGACAAATATACAATTATAATAATGCATATGACTTGGGACATCACATCTGAATATAGAGAAAACAAAATAATAATGAATATCAAATATCAATCAATTAAGCAACATTTGACAGATCGCCGAGCAAGCCTGGAATAGTTCTACTGTGCCTAACATCCTAAAAACAAAAGAAGAAGACAACCCAAAAGAGAGATTTTTTTGGTAAAAGAACTGAAATAAACTTCCCCAGTTTCCTTGCGGTGCAACTCAAACAACCAAGGATGAAAGTTCATGTAAAAAATCAAATGAACTTCCTTGATGAAAGCAGATTGGCATCAATCAGTTATTTCGTTTTTCGAGTTACAAGTTTACTTTTGGTCAGTAGATTTTGTATTGTTAAAAACAATCATGCTTCTGTTCTTTTTTTTTTTCTGTATAAATTTAGTTATATTACAATCCTGCAAACAAAACTCTGAAGTATGAGTGTCCCTAACTAGTCATCTGTCATGTTTTCAACTAGCAAATTGTTTCCATTAAAAAAATTAAATTAGAGGCATCCAGCAATCAGGAGCGGTTACCTTTGATATATGAGTACCAAGACTCCTGTGCACACCACAACATTTTAAGCATATAAAAACTCCAATGTTTGCTGACCTGCAAATGCAGTTACGAACAAAATATCTTACAAATCAGAAGGATATAGGATGGAAAGTAAACTGTCCTAATGTACATTTATTTTCAATTGTCCTGAAACAGGTGTATCCAAATTTGGGATGTCAACTAATAGCTTTTCACGAAACAGTGCAATAACTGACTTGGTGCTTATACAAACACCGACACAATGTCAGTATCAACGGGGAAAAACTTACGCCCATTTAGGATCTGTTGCACCACAATCAGCACAATTGCGATTATCTTTTTGGATCAATAAATCTTTTAATCTTCTTTTACCTGCATTGAAACGTGCAAGTCATTCAGTTTCTAGATTAAAGCAATAAACATAAAGGACACTTTCTTTTTATGCCAAACATGTACAGATTTGGTTCAAGAAACCACAGTAAGAAAAGTTGTACAGTCCAGTGAATAGAAAGTATGTAGAACAAAACCTTCCTTCCTTTTTCCTTTTCTTACCAGAATATTACATGTAAATACGGTGCATAATTCATAATATCTAAAAAAATTCAAGTTATAAGACCCTATTCATATTGTATTTTTCTTTTGATTTGAGTTTTACAAGCATACCTGAGGCAGGCCTCCCAAGCTCCATAGGACGGTGATTCATTGCTCCACTAATAACTTACAATCATGCAACGAGTGATGCCGGTTATTTTCAAGTAATCAGGACAGTGACCTGAAAAAGGAAAACTAAAACAACCAACCTGAGCAAAAAACGTTCCAGAAACGAAACAACCACACCGAATCGAAAGCCTCAAAATTTGAACTTCTTTAGCATAAAGTACGCAGACAAGCTAATCCTGTAGAGCTCATATCAAGCAAATTGCCCCCCATATGTGAGCAAAAATCAGTTTGAAAACGATGAAATTCGCAATACCACTGCGAGTATGCAATAATCGTTGACGGGTATTTTACATCATTCGAAGTTGAAGGCAGTCCGATAATCCAAACATCCACATCAAATTCAGAGAAAAACTAATGAACAAAAATACTATTTGACTTGGCTACAAAAACCCCATAAATGGATAAAATACGTGAATGTATTTTTGTTTTTTATGTTGATTTTTTCGTGTCCCAAATGATGAAAGCTCCAATCAAACGCAACAAAATGAAATCAACGATTACAAGAAACAAAACCCAAATCAACAATTAAGGGATAATTAATAATCATAAATGATGGGTTCTATTCAAAAGTAATAGAACATGCAACTAAAGGTGGAAACTTGGTCCAAATCAAAGGCTCCAAATCAATCCAACGACTGCTATATCATTCACATATAACCAGAAAAAGAGAAAATGATAGAAACCAATCATCCAAAAAATGAAAAACTAACCTGACAATTATAAAATTATGGAGAAAGATATCAAATTTACCAGTGGATTGAAGAAATGGGAAATGCCCCTTATAGAATGATTGATTCTTCAGAGAAATAACCAGCAACAGAGAGAGAGGGAGAGAGAGGGGAGGAGGAGGAGGAGGAGGAGGATTGTTGAAACAACTGCGTTTTGTTTTGGTTTTGTTTTTTTAGTTTCGTTTTTGTTTTTCTAGTTGTTCAAAAGTATTTTATTTATTTGTTTTTATATTGTAAGGTCAGAGGAGGTGGAATTACAATGGTAGGACAGGAAGGATTGATTGAGATTAAAATTGGTGGAGATTAAAATTATTAATTTCAGGATATGGGCAGTTTAATTGCCTTCCCTAAAATAACTACCACACTCCTTTTGCTGCTCCCAACTCCCAAATTGGCAGTTGGGCATGTAATCATTTCTTTCTTTTAGAGTTGTAGACTTGTAGTAGTTGGATTTGGTTAAATAGTTCGTTGCTCGGGGAGAGAGGAATTGGTGGGAATCCGTATTAGGGTGCAAATGTATATATTCATTTTTTTTTTAGTACATTGATAATTTTACACTAGGCAAAGGGAAGTTTGGCTAAGCCACACAATAAGCAATCTAATTTGATATCGAATTCGTCATCGACAAAATTGGAACATAAGACCTCTCACTTCCAAATGAAAAGGAATATACCAAACCGTAGTACTGAGTGGCTATTCATTCTTAATTAACAAAAAAAAAACCTATAAGTGAGGAAGAAATCGAAGGAGAATTAACTCTATCGCTTCAACTCCATTGTTGCTTACGAATTTGATAAGTAATAAGTGAGGAAGAAATCGAAGGAGAATTAACTCTATTGACTTATAAGCAATATTACTACTCCTAAACTACTAAGGAAAATGAATAGGGTTTGAACTTAGGACACAATAAGTTAAAAGAAGAATATACTATGCACAATAACAAGCCACTTGCAAGCGTCGAAACTATCTAGACAATAAGTTACTTAGGACGCAATGGATTAATTATGTAATGTGTATTTAGTAATGAAAAGGAATTTTGTTACTTTTGTCAAATGATATTTGGACAAGGATTGTCTGCCCTCCTTGTTCCCGTGCCCTCCCATGCCCTCCTGTTTGTGTGGTCACGGTTAAGCCACGTCAACATTTTATATTACTATTCGTTTTTATCTTATTATCTCTATAAAAAAACAATATAAAATGTTGGCGTGGCTTAATCGTGACCACACAAAACAGGAAGACACGAAAAGGCACGGGAACAAGGAGGGCAGACAATCCTTGTCCATAATATTTCACCTGGTGGGTCATCCCAATTTTGAGTCATTGCCTTCCAGAATATGTTGTAAATGTTTGACATTCTAAATTAAAGTTTCATGCGTCATAACCAGTCATTTTCGTATTTATTTCTTTCTCCCCTTATTTAGGCAAATAAAATGTCAAAGGTATTAATATTAGGAGGCAGATTGTCTGCACTCCTGTTTGGGTGCCTTTCTCATTCTCTTCTATTTGTACTATCACGGTTAAGTCACGTCAACATTTTATATTCTTATTGCCTTTTATCTTATTATATATATAAAAAAATTAATATAAAATGTTGACGTGACTTAACCGTTATCGCACAAAATAGAAGATGATGGAAATGGCAACCAAACAGGAGTGCAGACTATTTGCCTTCTTAATATTAAACCTGATTTTATTATTAATTGACATTGAAAAGTAGTGGTATGTACACAATGTAGGGCTGGTTCGGGTCGGGATCCTGAACCGAAACCCCAAACCCGATTCCTAAACCAAAACATTTCGGGATGGGATTTTATATCCCGAAACCGAACCAAAACTATTGGAATCCCGAAATTCGGGATTCCCGAAAGTGTTTCGGGATTTTCGGGAAACTTCGGGATTGGGCCTTGAAGCCCAAAATGTTGGGCTTTTATAACTTTTTACAATTTTAACCTTTTTACAATTTGAAGCCCAAAATGTTGGGCTTTTAAAGAGTAAGCCCACCATTTAAAGGGTAAGCCCACCCTTTTTTCATAAAAAAAAAAAAAAAAGGTTACAATTGGCAATTGCAACCAGCCACTGCCCGCACAAGCACAGGCAGCCCACTTGTTTCAATTTCATCACAATATCACAGATTCACAATACCACACATGTTTCAATTTTCATACCAAGAAAGCAACAACTAACAAGTTAAGCTTAAGTTTATAAACGTCTAACAAACTAGTTAATTAAAAGTGCATGCAACCAAAATGAAATAAGTTAAATTTTACAAACCAAACTTCCGAATGAATTTAGATTAAATTACAAACCAAAAGCAAAACATAGTTTATAAACGTAGTTCATTTCCTTTAGCCCCTTCGGCCTCTTCCCCTTGTTGATGAATGACCCGTTGACGTTGGTGTTGATGGTGGTGGTGGACCCCTTCCTCTTGTTGATAATTGAACCCTCCTTTGTGTTGGATTAGATGCTCTTGAAATGGGTGGTCGTGGAGGTAATGATGGGCGGCGTTGAACTTGAGGTGGTGGAGGAGGTGGCATTTCACCTTGTGTGGGATTCTCCTCACCTCCCATATTAGGCAACTCTAAAACGATAAAAACAATAAAACACAAAATATATTTAGAAAGTGAATGCATAAATTTTAAAACTAAGAAAATGAAAACATGAAATCAAATATTTCACTTACCCTTCTCCAACTCTTCAAGTTCCTTGTAGAACATAAGAACATAAGATCGTCAATTGTAGGCTCCTTGTAGAAAGACATTTCATTCCCCCTTAGCCAATCACTTGTACACACCAAAGCCTCAACTGTTCTCGGTGTTAGGGAAGCTCTAAAAGGATCTACAACTCTCCCACCAAGACTAAAAGCATTCTCACTAGCAACGGTGCTACTAGGAAGAGCAAAAATGTCCTTGGCAACCCTACTAAGAGTTGGATATATTCCAGAATTGACTTTCCACCAATCCAAAATATTGAAACCCTCATAAGTTAAGCTTTGGTGAGGATCATTGAAATACATATCCACTTCATTGGATATCTCATTTTGTTGGGCCGCTGCTCTTTTTTGTTGGATCTTCCTTTGCATTCTTGTAGCAACATCATCATCTTCCAACCCCGAAGAATCATCTACCACAACACTTGGCCTTTGATTCCCGGTAACACTACTACTACTACTAGAAACCTCTCCCTCCTTATACGCCTTAAACAAATCTGTCAAGTTTTTTTTAATAGTCGTCTTCACATCCAAGATTGCATCACATGAATAGCGGAGTTCCTCTAGACTTGCCTCCAACATTTCAAACTTGTACCTCGGGTCGAGTGCTTGGGCTATAAAGAGTATAGGGTTAACCTTTTCAATGTCCCCCCAATACTTGTCAAACTTAAGCTTCATGGAAGTTGCCACACTTTGCAAAGTGGCATTAGAGAAAGTGCAAATCTTTTCTTCTATCTCCACTTGCAATGCCATCACCGTGCCAAGTATTAAGTTTGAAGTTGGTGTCAAGGTTGCACTAAGTGTCAAGGTGGCATCATAAAACTTTTTAAGAAAGTGAGCAAAACTCACCGCCCTCTCCCAATCTTCCACCACCGGAGGACCCACCCGTTTCACCTTGGTTGTGACCCCATTAATCTCTTTAGATACTTCCTCTTGAAAGTAAGAGATGAAAGTGTTGCACTCATCTGCCATCCTTGAGAACACTTGCTTAAATTTGAAGGCACTATTGAGCATTTCATAGGTGGCATTCCACCTTGTGACAACATCAAAAGGAATATTCGACATCCTATCAAATCTCATCAAGACGCAATACTCCCTAAAAGTCTCCAACCTCGCGGGGGATGAGTGTATGAACTTGACACAATTCCTTATCCCTTCAATCTCACGACTAAGCTCCGTCATTCCATCTTTAACTATCAAATTGAGGATGTGACAAGCACACCTCATGTGCAAGTGAGCCCCATCAAGTAAAAGAGTACCATTGGACTTGAGTCTTCTCTTCATGTAGGCAATGGCAGTGTCATTGGCACTAGCATTGTCAACGGTAATGCTAAATACCTTGTCTATGCCCCAAGTATTCAAGCATACCTCTAGACACCTCCCAATATCATCACCCTTGTGAGACGTAATTTGAACAAAATTTAGGATCCTCTTATGCAAAGCCCAATCATTATCCAAAAAATGTGCCGTCACCACCATGTAATTAATATTTTGGATTGAGGTCCAAGTATCGGTAGTGATACTCACCCTCAAACCATCAACCACCCTCTTGATTTTTTCCTTCTCTGTAAAATACAATTCTAAAACCGCCGCCGCCACCTTGTGCCTATTTGGAAGCTTGTACTTTGGATTCAAGTCATGGATCCAATCTCTAAAGTCCTCTTGATCAACCGCCCTAAAAGGCATCTCCGCTTTTATTATCCACTTCACACATTTCATATCAAGTCTTTTTTGATTAAACGTGTGAGCGACAACTTGACCCCCCATCACCCCTTGTGACAACAATGGTTGTTTCGAATCCGGAGCCTCGTAAAGACTAGAATCCGGGCATTTCTTCAAATGATTAAGAATACCTTTCGTCCCATGTCTAGAAGACTCCGCTGGCACTTGCACTTTGCAATGATTGCACTCCGCCATAACCGTTGTAATTCCAAATTCATTGGTCACTTTTACCTTAGTGGCATCATTCCAAGCCGGACTTGGCCCCTTAGTCCTATTACTTCTTTTCTGTTGACCCACCCTACTTGCTAATGTGGCCACCGAAGGCATCTGCCGCCTGTCCAATTCAACACTATCCTCCTCCTCCTCACCTTCTTCTTCCTCTATTTCTTCATCTATTTCTTCTAACCCTATATCAGCATCCATATCCGGATCATCATCACAATAATCTTCAAAGTATTCTTAAGTTCGAATGTACTGTGGTTTTCGTTTTACTAAAACCGAGATCCTAGGTGTACTAGTAGATTGTGATTGGCTACCACTACCACTACCAGAACCATCCATCCTGACAATGCACAATAATATATCACAACACAGTTCAGCATATATATAATATTCATAAACTGATCCATAAATAAAAGTGTATATAAACTCAGATGGCAGATATATAAACACAGTTCAGCATACATATATTGACAGAGTGCACATATATAAAAGTGTATATAAACTCAGATGGCAGATGTATACCACATTATATATATCAGATTACATATATTGACAGAGAGTGCAGATGTATACCACATTATATATATCACATTACATATATTGACAGAGTGCAAAATCTGACCTGTTTGTTATTGAGCTCTTGTTTAAACTTAGAAGTTAGAACCTCCCTGCTACTTATCTATGATAGCTGCTTTAAAATCTGACCTGAATACAAAATCAAATTGCCAAAATTAAGTATCACACACACTAACCAAGTCTTCACAATCGTTGCAGGGCATACAAATAGCAGGGCATGCAAAAAATAGCAGGGCATGCCAAATAGCAGGGATTGAAAAATGAAAAATGGCAGGGCATCCAAATGAAAAATGTACCGGAGAAAGCAAAAACAAATTAAAACTTAACATCCATATGAATGAGTAAAATGTGTTCGAAATAAAGAGTACGGAACCTGCAGGAACTACGCAAGCCGATTACAAATTAAATTACCGAGAGAATCGATGTAATCCCCGAGCTTCTGGCACCAGAGCCTGTGCGAGTCCTCAGAGAGAGGCTCGAACACCAAGTCCTTCCTCGCCACAGCTCCTCTGTTCGCGCCACAGCAGATTCCAGCTCCGCCTTCCACAAAAGCTCTTATCCTAATCTTCGGACCTTCCGCCCGCGAACCCCAGGACCTCCTTCTCGACAATCAAGCTCCGTTGAAGAAGAAGTGAGATGATTTCTTTCTCATTCTCTCTCGAGGCACAGAGATGAAGCGTTGCATGCAACTGGGAAAGCTTCTAGGCCTACTAACCTGGATTTTGGGACTCGATTGGTGTCGGATTCGAGTGTGTGAGTGAGTCGATGGAGAAGCGTCAGTCTATGGAGAAGCGGCGTGAGTCAATGGACGACGAGGACCGGCATGGATTCCTTTGTTCCAAACTTGTCCGATCAGGCTGGAGTCGACGGAGGAGTGGAGCGGCGTGAGTCAATGGAGTGATGGACGATGAGGAGCGACGTGGATTCGACGGAGGAGTGGAGCGGGGGGACTGTGAGAGTGAGTGACTGTGAGAGTGAGTGAGGTGAGCGGCGCCAGTGAGGTGAGAGAGCGAGAGCGACTGAGAGAGTCTGATGATAACCTAACTTCTAACAAACAAATGACCTAACTATGGACGGTTGGATTTGATTTTAACAAATCCAACGGTTCAAGTAATTCCTAATTAAAAATTAAAAATAAATAAATATATATATAAATTATTCGGTTCGGTTCGGGATTCCCGAAAGATTTCAAAGCAATGGCCAAATCCCAAACCGAAAATTTTGGGTCGGGATCGGTTTCGGGATATTTGTTTCGGGAATTTTTCGGGATAATTTCGGGACGGGATCGGGACGGTTCGGGATTTTCGGGATTTTCGGGAAAAAATTCCACCCCTAACACAATGCCACTTTTGCAAATGTACATGAATTCCGACCTGAGAGTTGCCTTTCTTGACAAAGTTTATGTTTAGATGACACCATGACAATTGACACAATCGCAATGCCACATCACACAAAATGTTGAGAAATGCGAAGGAATATTACAACATTGTCAAACGTTGTAAAAAAAATATAAGGTAACAGAGAGTCCATGAAGAGTCATACTTTTAAAAGAGTTTCTTTGACATTTTTCCATAATGTTTTTTTACTCTTTTTAGTAGTGGATTTTCGCTTAATATTCATCACTCTACCAATCACTATTATTTTAATTTAAATTTTGAGATTTGCGTAATAAATAAATTAGATCAAACTTATCCAACAATAAACAATAAGATGGTGAGCAAAAAATGTAATGCTTTCAATGATGAATGAAAATGAGAATTCAAACTTAAAATCTTTTCAAAATTATAAAACATACGATCTGTATTGATAAAAGAATAAAAAGTTTAATTGTTTCACATAAAGTTCTTTTGACGATAATTGATTGTGTAAAACTAATGAAAATGACTTAAAAACTTTGAGTTTTAACGATAAAGACAAAATAAAGGGTAAAGTGAATAGTACCAAGTTTGACTTTTTAATGTAAAAATATAGTCGTTAAAGTGAACAGTACCGCGAACTTTTCGTTAAAACTCCCAAAATAAAATGTTAGAATTACGCTCTACAAGTCAAGTCTTACAATTGAAACCTTACTAGTAATGCAGGATGATAACATGAATTGCATTAGCCCTTTGAACACACAATGTGGCAAACAAACATGGCCGGCAGAAGCAAGAGATAAGGCATCAACTGAGTGGGTTTACACTTTGACACCACCAATCACCATCATCACTAATAAGGTTAGAGTGACTTAGGATTCGATAAGATTATGAGCTTCACAACACATAGTTTGGTAATCGAAATATGTGACCATGATCCCCATTTTGTTAACCGTTAGATTTTTGTTATAGATTAAAATATCCATAAAATTGAATAAAATAGTGCTATTCAAATATCTATTTTTATTTTCTACATACTCTTATCAATTTTTTTATCATTAATCTTTTTTAATTCCTTGAATCTGACGATCGAAAATTGAGACACGTATGTAAAAAATAAAAATGAGTTTGAATAACAATATCCAACCGAATACACCGACCTAAAAGAGAGAAACAAACATTTATAAGAGAATAGCTTTTTTAGGAAGGGAATATTACGAGATTTATACCCCACTCTCCAGATTGCTCAGGACCGGAAAAGTTTGGTACTTCCAAAGGTAAGCGTCAAATCCAAAATTTGGTCGCTTTCTCCGAACCACCTCATGAATCATGCCAAATGTTAATCAGTGGAGTCATAACTTATGAATTATATGACACAAGTACACTGTTATCGTAAAATCTTATACCGATGATATAAAGATTTGTAGGTTTTCATTCACTTGAAGTCATATCAGGTGTCCAGGACGTTATGAATCGGTGTACTCGTGTTATGTTAGTTATTATTGCAATCACTAGACAATGGACATTTTGACAGGACAAAAGGACCACCACCAAATATGTGACAGAAGGATCCTTCTGATTATTACGTAATATTGTTTAAACAAAGCATGAGAGATTCTTGTGTTCCAGCTTTACAACGTTACACAGGGCACCAGCCGCAAGGGGTGAGACCGGGCGGGCGAGCGGTGAGACCAAATACAGGGAGTGCAATGTTTTGTGTGCAATCGGACAGCCACATGACCCTTTTTCTACTGTGGTGGAAAGGAGTAGAGCCTTTGCATGACGGCGTGAGTTCGAACCTCATCGCTAGCTAATCTAACAAAAAAGTAAAAGGTGATGAAAATCATTCAACAATCAAAGTGTTTCTCCGTTTCTGTAGTTGGACAGAGAACCTCGATAATGGCTAATGCAATCAAAGGCTGAGGAACATCGGAAGCATATATACACCACAATGCTTGATCGCTCGAACCACCTAATCCAAACGTGATTCACGGATTGTTCATCCAGAGATAGTTTACAGGACAATTGGACAGCTATAGATCATATATAAGTGCTTAAAGTAGTAAACAGCATCATAAGATGAAACATCAATCAACAATAAAAAGGGTTTCACAAATTGGCGCGGCCAAGATGACGGCTTGGCTCTTTGTCTAATGCTACAGATGAATGCTATTGTTACTCAAGTTCCTTAACTAAAGCTGTCAAATGGGCAACTTACAACAAAGAAAGAAGAAAACTTTACCTAGCATAAGAGACTTCAGCATCTTCTCGAGAAAGAGACACGAATCAGTTCAGAAACAGTGCCTTATCAGTAGACCTCCACATGCCATTGCTTGTTCTTTTTCAGTTGTGAAAGCTTCTCCTCCCAGCTTTCCCCTCTTTCAACTGCAACCCTCTTCAAGGTCTCTTGAATCCCGGGCATCATACCCTTGAGCCCGCAGAAGTATATGTGGGCCCCATTATCCAGTAGCTTAAAGATCTCGTCACTATACTCCTCAATTTTATCCTGAACATACATCTTCCCTCCTCTCTGGTTCTTCTGTTCTCTGCTAAGTGCTATGTCATACCGGAAATTATCAGGGTAGTCCTTGAGATACTTGGTGAATTCTTCATCATAGAGGAGACTATCAATGTTGGCCACACCAAGGAATAACCATGCAAGGCCGCCAAACTTGAATTTGGGAACAGATTCCATGAACATGCGACGAAGGTAACCTCTGTATGGGGCAACACCAGTGCCAGTGGCGATCATAATGTGGGTGGCATTTGGGTCGTCTTCAGGCAAAAGCATGATCTTGCCAGCAGGCCCTGCCATATTAATATTTAAAGTACAATTAACTACTGATAAAGAGTGCATCTTAACTACGCAACAGTGTCAAATCCATAAAATGACTTGGCCAAAGCAAGAACTAAAATGCACATCGAACTCATATATGTTGGAAATCCGAAGAAGGCAGGCATTTGGTAAATAACAAAAGGGAAGAACAGGCTGGGGCAACTAAATGAGATAGGGGCACAGTCCCTGAGCTGTATGAGTTCATTGCCATGAGCTATGCACTATTGCGCAGGCTAAATTTCATTTTAAAAAGTCCGAATGTTCTTTAAAAAAATAGGCTCTTACCTGTGATCTTAATTTTATCACCAGGTTTGGAGTTGCATAAAAAGTTGCTGCATACACCATTCTTGGAAGGATCCTCCTTTCCTGTCTCAGGGTCATAGTAGACAGCACGGCGGACACACAAACTGGTTGTCTTGCCATCAAAATAGTCTCCATACCTTGAGGATGCAATTGAGTAAAGACGAACATTGTGCGGAGCCCCAGGTTTCTTTGGGTTTTCACCCTGTTATGCAAGTGAATCACAATAAGGTACTACAAAGGAGGAATTTAGTGTGACGATGGAACCAATAACAGTGTCTAAAACTATGCGCCTTTAGTGAAGAGGATAGACAACAAATGGGGCTGAAAACAATTGAATCATAATACTCTTAATTTTAAAATCATAACTGCACTGGATATCCATAGGCAGAGCATGAAACAGATGAACATGAGTATATCATTTAGTTAAAAAAGACAACCCAAGTGAACTTTAAAGGCCAAAAATCATGCAAATATTCATGAAAACATAAATATAAGTTACTTACAGGAGGAATTACACCATAACTTTGCCCTTCCCAGTAGGGCACATTACCACCATGATCAATAACAATATGGCAAGTCTCACCAGGAGCCTTTGGGCCAACAATTCTCTCAACAGAAAGAATGGTTGCAGTATAAGGTTCCTTAGGCTTGTGTATATTTAATGGGGGTTCATTAGCATCCTCAAGTTGTAAAGGAGCTACATTAACTTTAGGTGCACTAGCTTGTTGCACCGACATGCATACAATGCGCTGATTTCTCAGTTGCCCATTCTTCGTCTTCAAGTCCAAAGGTAAAATAGGTGCCCATGATTTATCATTAAAGTTAACACTTTGTGCCTGCAGCGAAATTACAGAGCGGTTTCAGTGAAAGTTATCAACTGAACAAACACATAGCACGTTAAATATGTACTCTATTATCAGGTAAACTTGAACCAGCATATTAAGACCCTAAAACATTAGTCTAAGATGCAGTTTAAACTTAATCAGATCAGCATAAAGAGATTTGTTTCAACCGCAAATATATTCATACGTTTGTAAATCTTTTTAATACAATTTATTAATTTAACATTCCACTCAATTAC